CTGTATTCTCTGGTCGCTCGTTCTCATTTTTGAAACGAACGACCTCCAGACCAGTGTCGAGGCTCGATGGAGCCTTTACCATGCCTACCGATGTCTTCCATGAATTCAGGAAGAGCAAAAACTTTGGCTGGCTAGGGTACTGGTGGTTTAACACGCCTCTCACAAAAGTCACAACCCATAACATTTTGGCAGCAGTTTCCCAATGACATGCCTTGCCTACGGGGAGAAATGGTCCATGCTGATCCAGACAAGGTCTCCCTATCTGGACAGTGAAGGCATGCAATGTTCATTGGCATCTGCAGCCATGGACTCCTACGCCTGTCTTTTTCACAGTTCATCAGCAAACTGCTTGGTAAACTCCAATGTGGCAGGAGGATGCTTTGGCTGCTGCAAGTTGGGGATCAGAAATAAACTCCGGCGTCCATAGCTTCTACTTGAAATACATTCCGATTGATATTCTCGATATGGCAAGGTGGACTGAAAAGTATTATGCGCTCTCCTCCTTGGTCAACTTCTGATCCGAGTCAATCTGACAGCCCTGAGCAGATGGCCCACCAATTGCTGAAAGTTGCAGTTCATCCGCTCAGTCTGACCATCGCTCTGTGTGTGGTTGGCCGAACTCATGTTTGAGTGAAATACCAGTGAAACGCAGTGTTTGCAGAGCAATTCTGCTAACTCCTCTCAATCCTGTTCCCCTCTTATCGGAACCAGCCTGGCAAACTTGAAGACGCAGAAATCGTCTAGGCCTTGGCCTTGGGAAATCCGCCATATGCACTCTCTGGACTCCCCCTCCTGTCAATGTGTGCATCCTCTCACCTGCTCAGTCAATCCCCTGGTTTCACAGGGATGTCAGTGTGTTCAGATGCTGGATCCTCCACAGAGACTGGACCTGTTTTCCAGCAGGTGTTGCTCCCCACCCATAGATTCAAGAAACAAGGCAACCCGCTAGAAGGGAGTGCTTTTATCACCTCTCCTAGCGAAGGGACTGGTTTTCCTGTTAATTATGTATAAAAAAAAGGTTGTGATCTTTCCAGGGAAAATATCAGAAAAATGAAAAAAAAAATCATTCAACCATTAAATAATCGCCATGCCGATTCGTCGCAGTTTCCATTTTTGCCACTCTGTCATGTGTGACCCAAAGGAAACAGAACGCCAACTTCAGTGATTTTTCACACTCAGAAGAATGCGTGAAAAACTCTCAAAATTGTGGGGCCCATAGATTTCATTGTTATCTTTCCAGGAAAAATATGGAAAACAAAATTAAATTTATTAAAAATGATTTCAACCGCAAAATAAATCGCGGTGGCCATTCTACGCATTTTCCATTTTTTTTCCATTCAGCCAGTTCTCCACACTATGCAATCAGACTTGACTTATTCAAACTTCTCTTGCACGTGAACAGCAATACAGCAAACTGGCGACATGCGCCCAAACAATACTCAGAGATATCGCACCCAGATAAGAGTTCTCTTGTAGTTGGCTATGGCGACTGTGCGCCCAAACAACTCGCTGTTCACACTCTGGATCACCCTGGATATCCCACACGCGATACTCAGCACACACACACAGTACACACACACTTCCCCTAAGCTACAGCTATGGCGGCTATGGCCGCTGCTACCCTACTGCTATGGCTACGGTATGTCACTCTCGCCCACTTTCCTCACACAAGCTGCTGAGGCAGCGCTTCCGCATGGCTTCCGCAGGAATGAATGAATGGCTGGACGCAGCCTCTTGATTTATACTTCTGCGCTGCGTTGGTCTGCCCTGTGTCCCTTGGCCCTTGGTGCACACAGTCCCAGACAGTACTTGCTGGACAGGACCGGACTGCCTAACTGGGACTGTTGACTCAGCGAGGTGGCCTACCACCACTTGACCACTTGCCTCTGTTCAACGCAGGCTCACTCCGAAAGGCCACTTCTAGAAACCTCGGACTTGGCCTTTCGGTACTGTAGCAGCTACGACTTTGCCCCTTCAGGTAAGTAGCAGCTACGACCTTGACCCTTCAGGCGTCCTACAGCTACGACTTCGGAACTGTCTAGACTCCTACCCTACAACTCTACAGTTCGATTCCCTTCTACCCTGTGACCTACGAAAACCTACCTACCACTGGCGGTCCTACAGGTCGCAGGTTCAAGTCTACGGGTTGACACTGGTACTGTACACAAATAAGACGGGGAACTAGGGATCGAGCCCTGGGATCTGCATTCGCTACTGCCAACTGGTGAATACCGTTTCAACTATACTACCGGTAGCCCTCTTAAAATTGCGCTGTCGGTCCCCCAGGGGGTTTGACATCCGGGGGAGGGGCGGTCTAACATAGCACAACTCTGCCCCCCTGCTTGCTCAACGTGCTGAATGAAAATGAAAGTGGAGTTGTCCTGCTCACCACTTGTGACTGGCTGCGTTTTCCCCTAGGCCTACCGGGTTGACTGTCCAAAACTTCTGGGTCCAATACGTGTGCTCAGCAAACAGAAACTCGACCTACAGGTCCTACGTTGAAATCCCAAAGGCAGGAAAATAACAGAACACCAGAGTTACCTCATCTTTGCCCAGTTCAGGGTTCCAATACTGCCTGATCCCAACAGTAAGGAGAGACAGGAACCAGAGACAAACCAGAGACAGAGCAGAGAGAGTAAAGAGACGGAGTAAGGTTAGAAAAAGTAAGAGGGATAGAGTTGCAAGAAGAGAAGGAAGAGTTTGGACTCAGGAGAGTTGGCACATGCTGAGCAAGGGGAGAGAAAGGAAGAGTTGGAGCTAGTCTGAAGTTGGCGATAGGGGGACCACGCATGGTCGGAATAAAATGAGTGACGATATGTTTTTTACGCACCTAACGTATTGGGACATCCTGATAATTATATACCTGCAAATCCTATGTCAACTCCAGCACACATAGTGCCAGAATGGTATTTTTTACCTATTTTATGCAATTCTTCCTAGTATACCGAATAAATTAGGTGTTGCTGCAATAGGTCGTGTCTTTTTTTCAATACCCAAAACGTAAAAATGATTTCTCTATGAAATCATTAAAAACCATAGTTGCGGCGCGCGACGGTGCGCCGGTTTGCGCACGATTTGCGCACGTAGCGCCGCGCACCACACGCACCGTGGCGCCCCGCACAGCAAAAAATAGGGGTAGGGGAAAAAAAAAAATTGGGTTTTCGTTCGGAGGGCGGTCCCCCACCTCGGCAAAAATGACAGGTGGGGCGCACGACTCGGGAAAACGGTCGCGCCCCGCCTCTGAATTTTTTTTGGGGGTAAGGGCCTGCCGAATTCGAAATTTTGAATTTGGCAGGCCCTTCCCCCACAAAAGTTTTTGGAGAAGGGGGACGGCCGTTCTCCCGGAGTCGCACGCCCCTCGCCATTTCAATCTTGACATCACGAAGGAGGGAGGGAGAGACACTGCGAGGGACGACCAAGAAGCGAGCAACGAAGGTGGGGAGCAGCGTGGGGAGGGTGACGAAGGTAGGAGAAGCGGGAGACCGACGAAGGTGAGAGAAGTGGGAGACCAACGAAGGAGGGAGGGAGGGACACGGCGGGAAACCATCGGCGTACGGCAGCCGCAGGACACCATCGGCTC